TTAACTAAAAATATTAGGGACGAGCAAGAAAATATTTGAGATATATACGGTAAAGAGAAACACTGGAGATGAGCTAGAAAATGTTGGGGACGAGATGGAAAAGTCTGGGGACCATTGGAATTTTAAAAAAATAGTGGGGATGAGCTAGAAAATATTAGGGATGAGCTAGAAAAAAGTGTGGATGATCTAGAAAATGCTGGGATGAGCTAGAAAAAAGTGGGGATGATCTAGAAAATGCTGGGACGAGCTAGAAATTATAGGGGATGAACAAAAAAATAGTAGGGATGATCAGGAATATATTAGGGTTCAGCTAGAATATAATGGGGATGAGCTAGAAAATATTAGGGTTGAGCTAGAAAATACTGGGGAATATTTGGGATAAGCCAGAAAATATTGGGGATGGGCAAGAAAATATGGGTACATTTTGAGGATCAGCTAAAAAATACTGGAAATGATCTAGAAAATACAGAGAAATATTGGTGATGAGCTAGAAAATACTGGTGACGAGCTAGAGCATAGCGGGGATTAGTTAGTAAAAATTATGAATAAGCTAGAAAATACTGGGGAGGAGCCAAATAATAATAATATTATTAAGGATGAGCTTCAAAATATTTGGGATGAGCTAGTGAATATTAGAGATGAGCGAGAAAATATTGGGGATAAGATAAGAAAAGTCTGGGGAATATTGGGGACGATCTAGAAAGTATGGGGGAAGAGCTACAAACTATTTGGGATGTGATACAAAATATTGGAGATGAGCTAGAAAATATTAGAGATAAGCCAGAACATATAATTGATGAGCTACAAAATACTGGGGATGAGCTAGAACATATAATTGATGAGCTACAAAATACTGGGGATGAGATAGAAAATATTAGAGATGAGCTAGAAAATAGGGATGAGATTGACGCCATCTGATTAGTAAAAAAAAAGTGTGTATGATAGTGCCCAAAAGTGTATTATGTGCATACTTAGTATGACAAGTAACTGTTACAGATAGAGATTCCAGGATTATAGGTGTAGATTTGTTGATCTGAGAGCAATGATGATTGTAGAAATAAAAGTGGCGATGAGTGATGATGTGGGATTGCGTTTAAGTAATGTTAGCGTTAGTTCCATCTTCCTCTGCTCCAATGAGTCACGAGGGACGTGGGCACCCTCTATCCCATTCCCTACTGGAACCATCTTTAAAGTGACCGTGAAGTTCCAAAATGGTGGGCACAGTCTCTGCTAAGGTGACATTGTTAGTGTTGAACACACAAAACAAATTCCAAACAAAAAAACCCACAAAACAAAGACAAAATGCAAAACCTAGTCAAAATTTTTTAAAATGCAAACAAACAAACACTAAAATAATAGATAAATAAAAAACCCAAAACAACCCCTCCTCCAAGTCCAAAACTAAAAATAATAGCGAACAAACAAACAAACAATAAAACAAATAGATAAACAAATAAATAAAATGAAACAAAAAAATCCTGAGTCAAAACTTTAAAAAAGCAAACCAACAAACAGTCAAAAAAAGATACAAATAAACTTACAAACTCAAAACACTCTATTCCAAACTAGAAAAAAGCAAACGAACAAACAATAAAAATATAGCTAAACATATAATAAAAACAAACAAAATAAATCCCTAGTCCAAACAAAAAAAGGCAAACGAGCAAACAATAAAAAAATAGATAAATAACTAAATTATAAAAAAACAAAAAACACAAAAAACCCACAAACAGTACAAAAATTGATAAACAAATACATTTTTACAAAACCACAAAAACCCTAGTCCAAATTCAAAAAAAGGAAACGAACAAAAAACCCCTGTTCAAACTTTACAAAAAAAGCAAACGAACAAAACAATTGTACAAAAATAGATAAATCAATAAATAACAAAAACAAACAAAACTCTAGTCCCAACTAAACAAAAAGCAAACGAATAAACAAGAACAAAATGAATTAATAAATACATTTAAAATATTTTTTTTTAAACGTAGTCCAAACTAAAATAAAAGCAAACAAGCAAACAGTAAAACAACAGATAAATCAATAAATAATGAACCGAGGAAAAACCCTCGTCCAAACTTTCAAATAAGGAAACGAACAAACAATAAACAAATAGATAAATAAATCATTACAAAAAAGCAAATGTATTCCAAACTAAAAAAAAAGCAAATGAACAAACAATAAAACAAAGAGAAATACATTTTTTTAAATCCCCCCCAAAAACCCTAGTCCAAAGTAACACAAAGATAACGAACAAACAATAGAAACATTTAAAATAGAAAAGAACCCATAGACCTGGTCCAAACTGAACAAAAAGTAAACGAACAAAGAATTAAAAATAAATACAAAATAAATACAAAATAAATACAAAATAAATACAAAATAAATACAAAATAAATACAAAATAAATAAACAAAAACAAAAACAAAAAAACCAACCCTAGTCCAAACTAAAAAAAGCAAATGAACAAACAACAACAAAAATAATAAATAAATACATTTAAAATAAAAACAATCTAAGTCAAAACTACAAAAAAAGCAAACAAACAAACAAACAAAAAATAAATAAATAAACAATTTTTTTTCAAACCCAAAAATCCTAATCCAAACCAAAAAAAAGCAAACAAACAAACAAAACAAATAAAGATAAATAAATAAATTTACAAAACCCCAAAAATCCTAGTCCAGCGTGTTATAAATCAGTACAAAAGTATTTATTTCGTTTATACAATAACATAACAGAATGTTGTAATAATCTGCGCTATGAACCACTTTGTTGAAACATGGTATATATATATATATAAACATAGATAGTATACATGTCAACACTGTCTGTCTGTCTGTCTCTCTCTCCCCCTCTCTCTCTTTATCTCAAACATGCACATACAAACGCACAAACACACACATGCTTTGTCCTCATCTCTCTCTCACACACACACACATACATCCTCTTTCTGTCTGCACGTAACCATTGTCTATGATTGTCTTCATCTCTCTCTCTCTCTCCCTTTCTCATTCGCTCTATCTCCCTCTCCTTCACACTTCTTCTCTCTCTCTCTCTCTCTCTTTCTCATTCTCTCAATCTCCCTCACCCTCACACTTCATCTCTCCGCCCCCCTCTCTCACTCTCCCTCTCTCTTTCTCACACACACACACACACACACAATTAATCTCTCCCCCTCCCTTTCTCTCTTTCTCATTCTCTCAATCTCCCTCTCTCTCACACCCCCCCCTC